CAACATTCAAGATTTTCTAAACAATACTCAATTAACCAAATATATCTCTTAAACATTCATAAACAACCAAAAATTAATATTACATTATATTAAAATAACAACTAACCTCTTCTTCGACGATTGGTTGAAAATTTGTTTTTTTCCCGGGAACAGCTTCAATTCGCCAAAAAATCGAGCAAAAAACGAGAGGAGAAATGAAATGGGAAAATTTGTTTTTTTTTTTTTTTAATTGCAGCTTCAATTCGCAATAAAATCGAGCAAAAAACGAGAGGAGAAAATGAAATGGGAGAGGAAATTGGGTTCGAATGATATTTATCAACAGAAAAACGGATTTTCAAAATCCGTTTTACTCGTTTTTAAATGAAAAACAGATTTTGAAAATCCGTTTTAGACAGTGGATGTATTATTATTATTATTAAATTCGACCGTTATCTTATAAAAAAAAAATCAAAAGTAAAAACAGATTGTGAGAATCCATTTTTCAATTAAAAATTTAATTAGAAAAACGGATTCTGAAAATCCGGCTGTTTTATACATTTCCACAACTTTTTACTTTTTTATTTTTTTCCACATATTTTCGTTTTTTTTAAATAAATAATGCACCCATGTGGTGCTTGTGGAGTCCAAGGGCACAGATCTGAGGTGTGCCCCTCGTCATTCGATCAGGATTTTAGTGAACAATATGCAGATGTCAATGCTCTTCAAGGCTACCAGAACCGGCCGGCTCAAATACATACAACCCGGGGTGGAGAAACCACCCAAATTTCTCATGGTCTAACAACAACAATACCCAGCAGCCTCGACAGAACTTCATGCAGCAGCAACCCCGTCCCAACTTCATCCCCCAGCAGCACCCGTGGACCAACCGAAGACCACCTTCACTTGCCCATTCGGCACATTTGCCTTCAGACAAATGCCATTCGGCCTGTGCAACACTCGGGACCTTCCAGAGATGCATGTTCTCTATTTTCTTCAATATGCTCGAGGACTGCCTACATGTATTTATGAACGACTTCTCAATCTTTGGTACTTTATTTTTTGACTGTCTCTATAATTTATCTCGTGTCCTTGAGAGGTGTATTGAGTCTAACTTGACATTGAGTTGGGATAAAAGTCACTTTATGGTGACTAGAGGAGTCGTGTTAGGTCATGTGGTATTGAGTCATGTAATTGAGGTTGATAAGGCAAAAATCGATGTGATTGAAAAACTCCCTCCACCTGTGAATGTGAAAGGAGTTAGAAGTTTTCTGGGTCACGTTGGTTTCTATAGGAGGTTTATTAAGGATTTTTCAGAAATTAGCCAGCCTTTATGCCACTTGCTTGCTAATGATGTGCCATACGTGTTTGATGATGCATGTGTTGATGCTTTTGATAAATTGAAAAATAAGCTTGTGACTGCACCTATTGTTATTGCTCTTGATTGGTCTTTGCCTTTTGAGATTATCTGTGATGCATCAAACCTTGCTGTTGGAGCCATCTTGGGTCAACGAGTTGATAAGTTACTTCGTGTAATTTATTATGCCAGTTTGACCTTAAACGGTGCCCAACTGAACTACACTACCACCGAGAAAGAGATTTTAGCCGTGATTTTTCTTTTTTCTTGAATAGTTTAGATCTTACATTTTGGGATCTAAAGTGATTGTTCATTCTGATCATGCGGCTCTTAGGTTTCTCTTGAGTAAAACTCAATAGAAACCAAGGCTTATTCGGTGGACCTTACTCTTGCAAGAGTTTGATGTAGAAATTCGGGATAGGAAAGGTTGTGAAAATGTGGTTGCTGATCATCTTTCGCGCATTGTCCCTACTGATCATTCACTCGCTTTGCATGAGCATGTTGATATAAATGATAGTTTTCCCTAAGAGCATGTGAGTGAAGTGGTTAGTGTTCCTTGGTATGCAGATATTGTCAACTATTTATCAGATGGAGTATTGTTGTCTAACATCTCTTCCAAAGATGAAGCGTTTTGTGTTGATGTGCAGGAATTACTTTTGGGACGACCCATTCATTTTCAAGGTAGGAAAGGATGATATCCTTCAAAGGTGTTTGCCAGAAGAAGAGCAACCAGATGTCCTTGCTTTAATCACGAGCTTCTTTGTGGGGGACATTTTGGAGGTCGAAAGACCGCCTTTAAGGTTCTCCAATCAGGTTTATTTTGGCCCTCTCTCTTTAAAGATGCTCATAACTTTTTTTCAAATCTTGTGATCGTTGTCAAAGAATTGGGAATATTAGTTCTAGAAATGAAATGCCTTACAATCTTCAAGTTGAAATCTTTGATGTATGGGGCATTGAATTTATGGGACCATTTCCCAAATCTTTTGGCTTTGAGTATATTCTCCTTGCTGTAGATTACGTGTCCAAGTGGGTTGAGGCTATCCCCACAAGGACATGTGATGCTAATATGGTTATCAGGTTTTTGCGAGGTAATATATTGAGCAGGTTTGGAGTTCCACGGGCCATTGTGAGTGAAGGAGGCAAACATTTTTGCAACCGGATTTTTGAGAAACTAATGAAGAAATATGGCATTTTACACAAGGTGGCCACCCCATACCATCCACAGACGTCGGGCCAAGCAGAAACGAGCAACAAGCAAATCAAGACCATTCTTGAGAAGACGGTAAACTCGTCCAGAAAGGATTGGTCGAGTAGGCTCGATGATGCTCTATGGGCCCAACGCACAACTTACAAGGGAGTCTTGGGGATGAGCCCATTCCGGCTCGTCTACGAAAAGGCATGCCACCTTCCGGTCGAGATCGAGCACAAGGCTTTTTGGGCGATAAAGTGGATGAATTTTGATCTTGATGCGGCCGGACAAGAGCGGATGTGGCAACTCTCCAAACTTGAGAAGTTGAGGAACGAGGCTTACGAGAACTCCAAAATTTACAAGGATAAGGTCAAAAGGCTTCACGACACGACCATTGTCCGGAAAAACTTAGTGCCTGGCATGAAGGTTCTCCTCTTCAATTCCCGACTTCGTCTATTTCCTGGAAAACTCAAGTCCAGGTGGAGTGGCCCGTATGTTGTTGATGTAGTGTTAACTCTCGGAGCTGTCCGACTTTGAAATCCAGCGAACGGTGACGTGTTTGTGGTCAATGGCAAAGGGTAAAACCTTACTTTGAAGGAGAGTTCGGAAAGCAACATGTCGAGACCATCAGTCTCGACGAAATTGCGTGTCCTTGATCTGGGATTGTGTCGAGCTCCCGGCAATAAACCGAGTTTCTTTGTACTTTCTGTATATATATATACATATATATATATATATATTTATTCATATTGATATTATTATTATATATATATAAAAAAAAGGGCTAAAGCAGGTACTAGCGGCGCTAAAGAGCCTTAGCGCCACTAAGGCAGAGTGTGATAGTGGCGGTATGCAGGTTAACGACTTCAGAGGCGAACAACTAAGGCGGGTTAGCGGCGCTAAGGACCCTTAGCGCCACTAAGGTCTAATACTTGATAAAAAAAAAGAACGGGCAAAAGACTTCATTTCACTCGCACAACATCTCATGTCTCCACACTCAAGCAAAAGAACCCCGGCGACCCACTTTCACCTTCTAACCAACTGACCGTCCTACCTGCTCCGGCAACTCACCAACGGCGATATCCTCCGACCACCGTCCGACAACGCAATTCCGGCTACCTCCTCTCTTCCGCTTTCATGGTTCTTCACAAGACAGTTTTCTCCCAAAACCCTAGCTCAACAATCAACTTCGTCTCCGGCCATCCAGCCGTCCTAACTTCTCTGGAGACTCACCAACAGCGGCGAACTTCCGACCACGAATTCCCAGTGTCCTCATCACTTCCGTCTGCCACTCTTCATTTCAAGAATCCCTCAACAACCCTAATCTGTCATTCGTGGGGAATTGTTCGTTTCTGGCCCGAATTCTCACAAAAAAAGGTACCGATAGCTTCCCTTAACTGCAAGTTGTTAATTGTTGTGGCGTGAGGAGGCCTACTCCGAGCTCGAACCATCGCGAATTGTTTACCCGTTCTTAAGCCCCAACACCGCACGCCTAGTGTTTGACAAATCGGCCGAACTAGAGGCGGAGCTAACTCGAAGAAAAAGGCCCCTACAACTTCAAAGGGCAAAGCGGCGGCCTTCACGAGCGCCAACCCCGACCCTACAGCCCGGTCTTGTCCTTAGCAAAACAACACGACATTCTCTTTGAGGTCGTGTCAATGGATGAGGTCATGGTGTACCAAAGGCTTGCCTCTAGTCCCGTTCTAGCACCACGCCAACTCGATTGGAACTAATTCAACGACGAGGTCGAGATCAGTGACGATATCTACCGCTACATCAAGTTGCTCGACCTCGAGGAATTTGAGGATATGGAAGCGTATACTTACCGGTCATTGACTCTGGAGTTCTTCAGCACAGTCACCAAGCACGAAAATAGGAAGTACCTCACGGCTTGACTTAAGGGTACAGAATATAAAATCACCGATAAAGTGTTGTGCGACATCTACAAATTCAATCCCTCAATCGCGACACGCCACAGCCCCATGGGGTTCAAAGTCGACCCACATTGGACGATCATCTCCCCATGCGAGAAATACAAGAAATCCAGGTCGTCTTCGGGTCTAATCAGCGACTTAGCTCATGTGGTGATCCACAAGTACATATCGCAAATGATCTTTGGCAAGAAGGAGTCAAACAAGGTGAGCGAGCAGCAGGTGTTCATCTTGTGGTCAATCTCACACGAAAAGCCGGTGACCATGTTGCAGTACTTGAAGGACTCCCTCTTCAATGTGCGCAACGACTCGAGGCGTGGTCCGACCTTGGGTCATGTGGTGTTCAAGTTAGCTGAGTACTTTGGGGTTGAGATTGACGAACCCAAAATCCGTGCCAAGCTGATTGCACAGAAAGACCTCTGGCATGCCGGCTTCCTCATCAACAACACCACCCTGAATCCAGTCATTAAGCGGGCCAGCTATAAGGCCTATTGCCAGAAAATGGGTTTACCCAATCCAAACGACTCGTCCCAACCGGCAGCCTGTACATCGGTCGGTCCAACTGACGAGACCCTTCATGATGTAGGCGGGGACGACTCCGACGCCGACAGACATCCCGCTCACGAGACCATTCAGCCTCCTCCATCTATGGACGCGCACACGGGTGCGTCTTCCCAGTCGGCTACTCCAGTTTGGTTTTCCGAGTATGAGGCTCGGAATGAGGCACGTTGGACGGCTTTCACCGAGCAGAACGACGCGCGTTGGACGTCGTTCGTTGAGTCCAATGATGCACGTTGGACGGAGCAGACCAGGAGGTGGAACGAGTTTGTTCAGGGCAATGCGGCGCACTGTGTTGGGATATGTGAGGATCTCGTTATGTACAAGTCACGAATTCAATAGCAAACGTAAACTTATGCGCAGCGGATCTAAAGGTTTGACGTAGAGAACTTACGACTTAAAATTTATGTAGATCTAGTTGACCACAAACGGTTGACCGCAATTGATTGACCGCAAATCACGTCTTGGGTTGCACGAACAAGATCAAATCAAAATCGGATCAAACGGATGCAAACAGATCAAAACGAAACTTTGCAGCCTGGGAGCTTCCGGCGGCGCGTGAGGGCGCGTGAGGTGTCGGACGGCTGCAATATCGGCGGCGATGGAAAGCACTCATCGAGATGGTCGTCTGGGTATGCTGTACGTCTCAATCGGACTTTCGGTTAGTTCTTTAGGTCAAAATATATTTCGTCTCGGTTTACCTACAGATCTTCTACTTTATTACTTAATACACCCTTCTTCTACTTGTACCAGTGGAGCAACAAGAAGAAGATAAAGCTCGAATGAGATCTAGAGAAGGAGAGAGAGAGAGAGGCGTGGGGCGTGTCTCGTTAGAATGAGATTGGGATTCTCTTCTCATGAGCTTAATGATGTATATATAGAGCTACAGTAGGGACCCTTAGGAGATTAGGAAAAAGGCTCCTTAATTAATTAGACTAATTGTGGGCCAAGCCCACTCTAATAAATTAAATAATATTAATGGACCACCAACATTATATTATTGCACTCCCTTTTCCTAGCCCAAATTACATTTGAGACTCCAATAATAATTACTCGATTTACCTCCCGACGTTTAAGATATAATGTCCATTAATTAATTCGATTACTGACAATCAAGAATTAATTAATTTATTATTATTTCACCGAAGCTAGCGCTCGTTCATCACATTCTTATTATGCCGGAACTTAATCCACCTGCAGGGTTTAGCATAACAATCCTTCATGAACTCACTTCGGGGACATCATCAAACTAACGCACATGGTGATAGAGTCTCCACAAACAGTACAGGAGTCTAAGAAAACTCCATAAGCCTTTATTTTTTCCCAACCAGCTTGGTATAAACACATTTGACAGATAGTTTATCAAGGCCATCACTGTCCCAAACTAGATAATCATCCTTGTAAGGATCTAATCCTTAAATACTGAACCTAGCCTCACTTACGTTCTTAGAGAATGTGTTGAGAACCAACTCCTTAATCTAGTGTCTTTCAGAAAAATCAAACAGTTCATGAACCCAAGTTAGATTGCTCCTTAAGAGAGAATAACTGTTTGGCTTGAACCGAGGAATGTTGGGTATCCAAAGATGATCCCATATATGAATCTTTTCACCCTATAAACATAGAAGACGTTTTCCTTGTGAAAGTACTTGACTTTTAGCAATTTGCTCACCTGGAGGTTAGGCTTAGTAAGCATTATCCAAATCTGCTTTGCTATAAGAGTCTTATTCATCTTGAATCTGGATGCTTTAAAGACTGGTGGACAAATATATGCAATATGAGCAATTCCTCTATTTCTAAAGCTAGACTTTAGTTAACTGCATATATCTTATGGGAAATTTGAAAATCAAGGAACCAACTTACTTTCAATAATTTGAGAAGACCTGAGCTCTCTATGGTGAATGTTGCTTGCAGTGAATGGATGGAGTTCTATTCCACTGGTGGTGTTCAGACCGATTGAAGTATTCTGGCTTTTATTTTGTCTTCTGTTCTCTTAGACTAGTTTTAGTTTATTTTTTTTGTTGTTTTTATTCTTGCTGCCTTACTTCTGTTTTTGCAGTGCTTGTGCTTGGTTTGGTCTTTAAGTGTTGTTTGTTAGTTATTTGTTGGTTGTTGTGGCTTCTGTTCTTGGTGGTAGCAGACTAGGTCCTTCTGGTTTAGTGGTTTATTATCCTTTTGGTTATTTTGTAGTAGCAGAGATGAGAATAACACTATCGGATTTAGTGCTTTTGTCGTTGCCGTTTCCTTGTTTTGATTTACAACACTTGCTCTTAGTATTCTTCCAGTCTACCTTGTGGTAGTTCTCGGGCTACATAGTCTTTGTTCTGTACATTTTCGTTTGAGCTATAATATTTATCGTTTAGAAAAAAAGAATTTGCTTTTTCCAAAGGTTTGGAAAGATGAAAATCTTATAACTATTATTATTATTATTGAACAAACAATTTATATATAGTGCCAAATATATTGGAGATTCAAACTACTTTTTAATCCAATACTCATTAGTAAGGCAAAAATAATTGGTTTAATTGGAGAGTTACAGGATTACTACTGTACTTGGAATATATTGATATGACTGTTATTTTATTACATCTATGTAAATTGTACGATGCAAGGGCTAATATCTTCAAATACATACAAATTACCATGACTACACACCTTGAGGAACAAAAAAAAGGTATATATGAGCAAAAAGTAGTCTAACTACTTCTAGTTTTCTAAAGAAGAAAGGGAATTTTTCTTATTTATGAAATCGTAAATTAACTTCTTATACATGTAGCAGTATAGCAAGACGCAGCAGAATAGTAAGACAAACTTTTGGGAATTGAATTTAGGATATGAATACGAGAATATAAAATAAACAAGTCCGCCTCCTTTCCAAATGGTATGCGCTCCGCACGTTCGCCGTAATCCCCCAGCAGTTTGTCAACATCTACCTCAAGCAAGACAGAGATAGAGTAAATTAAAACAAATTAATGTCAAATATGGAGAAATATATTAAGAAAAATGAACGAGGATCTAAAGGAATATATCACATAACAGCACATCCTATATATAATAATATTACCCAAAACAGTAGGAATATTAATCCAGCGAACTGAACCTCACCCATGTGAATCAAAGTAATATATATTATATATATCTGCCAGTTTAATATCTTACGGGTTAAGAGAACGCAGTAATTAACCGAGGCCTAGTTCATTTAAGACGATCAGTATAAAATGAACTTCTTCTCTCTGGGATCCTGTTCAATACATAAATGTACTAGTGCAACTAATCAGTCAAGACAAATTGTACAGTTGACACTACAACCGTTCGGATGGGGTGTTTATGTCCATCTAGGTTGTGAACAACTATTCTTGTTCGCAAGTGACTGATAGAGTGATCTTCGGTTCTCCCGATGACGACCCACCCTATCTAAGTGCAGAACAACAGAACGTAGAACTTGTTTAATCTAACATGATTCTCATTTATAAAGGGTAAATGTGTAATAACATGCAAAGCCAAGCTTTCAGTATAATCCTATCAATCCGTTATTCTAAAAGATCTATGTCGATCCTAATGCCATGCTCATGACTCTCATTCCTTCCACGTGTTTGACGAAGACCTTCCCCAGCAAACTCTTTGTGAAAGGATCAGCTAGGTTGTCCTCTGACGCAATCTTGGCAACATCAACGTCTCCTCTACCAACGATATCCCGAATCAGATGGTATTTGCGCTCTATGTGTTTGCTTGCCCTGTGGGCTCGATGTTCTTTTGAGTTCGCTACTGCTCCACTGTTATCACAGTACACGGTGATACTACGTGGCAAACTCGGTATAACCTCTAAGTCCACTAAGAAGTTCCTGAGCCAAACTGCCTCTTTCGCTGCCTCTGAGGCTGCTATGTACTCGGCTTCCATGGTGGAGTCTGCCACGCATTTCTGCTTAGCACTCCTCCATGAAATGGCTCCACTTCCCAAGGTAAACGCATAACCTGAGGTTGACTTACTTTCATCCCTATCTGACTGGAAATCAGAATCACTGTAACCCAGAGGTAACAAGCTGCCTGCACGGTAAACTAACATGTACTCCTTAGTCCTTCTCAGGTACTTGAGTATATGCTTCACCGCAGATCAATGTTGCCGTCCCGAATTACTTTGATATCTTGCTACCTTGCCAACAGCGTAGCTAATATCTGGCCTAGTGCACAACATTGCATACATGAGACTTATTACTGCCGAAGCATAAAGAACTGTCTTCATCTCCTCTATCTCTTTAGACGTCTTAGGAGACATCTCCTTAGATAGAGGTATTCCATGTCTGAAAGGTAACCTACCTTTCTTGGAATTCTGCATGCTGAATCTGGCCAAGACAGTATCTATGTATGAAGACTGTGATAAGCACAACATTCTCTTCTTACGGTCTCTAATGAGCCTAATACCAAGAATGTGTCCTGCTTCACCTATGTCCTTCATATCAAACTGCTTAGACAACCACACCTTTATGTCTGACAACTCCTTCTTACTGTTTCCAATAAGCAGTATGTCATCTACGTAAAGCACAAGAAACACCACCACGCTCCCACTGATTTTCTTGTAAATATAGTGCTCATCCAGACATTGAGTGAACCCGTACGACTGGATCGCCTCATCATAATGGATGTTCCAAGATCTCGAAGCTTGCTTCAGTCCATAAATAGACTGATTAAGCTTACGCACTAGATGTTCACGCCCTTCAGCAATGAATCCCTCTAGTTGCTGTCTTGACATCTATCTGCCAGACCTCATAGTCCATATGAGCGGCTACAACCAAGAGAAACCGAATGGACTTAAGCAAAGCTACTGGTGAAAAGGTCTCATCATAATCAATACCCTCGATCTGGGTATAACCTTTCGCAACAAGCCTAGCTTTAAAGGTTTATACCCCTCCATCCTCCTCTCTTTCTCTTATAGATCCACTTACATCCAATGGGTCGTACCCCATCGGGTGGTTCTACAAGATCCCAGACCCGATTGGAGTCCATTGACCCCATTTCAGCTTTCATTGCAACATTCCATGAATCTGCATCTTTATCTTGAAGTGCCTCATCGTAAGTTCTTGGGTCCGATTCTAGGCCTCCTGGAACTGAGTTCGATGACTCTCCAAGACCTATCCATCGGTCGGGTAAATGAAAAACCCTCCCACTGCAATGAGGCACTGTCTGCACTGGTACACTCTCAGTGTGCCGTGTTTCAGTATTATGTGATGTATGCACTGGTACACTCTCACTGTCTGCACTAGTCTACTCGCGGGCTTATGATTCATAATATAGTCTTCTTCCAAGAATCTAGCGTTCATCAAAACGATCACCTTCTGATCCTCAGGACTATAAAATAATCCACATTTCGTTCCCTTGGGATAGCCAACGAAAACTCGTGCTTCCGAACGTTTCTCCACCTTGCCAGGTTCCTGCACTAACACGTGTGCAGGACTACCCCAAACTCAAAACTGTGAGAAACTGGGCTTGCGCCCTTTCCACATTGTTGACGACCGACTTGGCTTCATGAGGTTAGAGCTAAAGACTAATCGCTTCGTTCGATTAATAGTCCCTCAGAAATAGCTGAACTTAGCTCAAGTTGGTACCAGTTAAACACTTTGATTACCGACTTCCAGTTGACTGAAAGTAGAACCGACAACTTATCAGAAGCCGACAACCGACTTCACCAACATTGTGAATATGACCTTTAAAAATTATCCATTCATCCGACATCCGAGGAGATCGAATTTCCAAGCAAGAGGTGTTGTACATATTCGATTGGACCATCAAAACAAAAAGCAATCATTGATGTTTCCTCATTCCACTACACACCGTTTTATTGAAGCTGCTCAACATTAAATGCGATCTTATCTACCTCGGACAAAAAGACAAAAGCGACCGTACTATAAATAGCAGAATTTATAGTTGTACGGGGATCTTTTTTCGCACATTGTACACGGACTAGAAATGATCTCGGTCAAGAACAAGAAACCGACTTCCTGTACTCTTGTGATATCATCAATAAAATTCGATTATCTTCTTATTTCTGTTTAAACACACCCAGCTGTTTATAGTTTTAAGTTGTTAATTACATACAACAACAGTTTGGCGCTAGAAGGGGGTGGCGGCACCTCTGATACAAAATTTGAGGTTAACTTTTTGACCCGCTATATACGTGTGTAAACAGTACCTTCACACACATATTATCACTATGTCAAATTCTGGGCGACAAGAACGAAATCCAGATACTGGAACCAGCCGTCATCCTGCTCATACAACTGATAATACAGCTGCGCCATCTATGATGATAGATTACTCTGTTTTATTCCAAGACCTAGAGTTCCTCAGAAATCTATCTAATTTTATGGCACAAACAAGACCAGGACCAACTGTAACGGTTCCTAGTCAAGCTCATGCTTCAAATCCTCAAACCAGGCAATTGACGCCGCCTGTTCAACAACAAAATAGTGTTCCTGCTGCATCTCATGCAACTTCTCACCCACGAAAACCTGAGTCGCAACACAATATTTCCCCTCCCAATCGTGGTGTAATTCCTGTTAATAATCATCCTCCGGAGGGAGTTCAACCTGAAATTACTGCTGAAAGTCATTCTGGGCGTCGCCAACAACAACCGGTGCCTCTGTCATCGGTAACTTCACAACGCATTCGACAGTCTGACTTACATCATACAATTGAACGAAATCGGTTCCGACGTGAGAACGATGAATTACGTCATACTATCGAAAGGAACCGTTTAAGGCGTGAGTCGGAAGAGTTGGAAATGTTAAGGAAGAGAATTGCTGAGTTAGAAACTCGGCAATACATTCTTGAGGGATCCCAACAAAGGACTCTTATCTTGGAGAATGTCTATCTGGAAGCCGAAACTCCCTTGGCTCCTCATTTTACAATGGTACCACTTCCCTCCATAGTCAAGGTCCCTCAGATTGGTCTTTACGATGGTACCTCAGACCCAGATGCACACCTCGGTCAATATACCTCGTGGATGGACCTTCATGGGGCAACCGACGCATTAAGATGTCGGATGTTTTCGTTAACCTTGGGGCCTCGTGCTAAAAAATGGTACCACTCATTACCTCGGTGTTCAATTTCTAAGTGGCAACAATTGAGAACGGCTTTCCGATCTCATTTCATCGGGGCTCGAGTATCTTTAATTTCAAAGGAGTCCATTGCCAATATCGTACAAAAGGATAACGACAGTGTTAAAGACTATATTACTCGGTTTAATGAACAAGTACAAAA